AGTATATTCGTAAAAAGAAGAATAGAAAGAAATAGAGAAAAGAAACTCACCTTTCTCCTTAAAAGCATAGTACTTGAAAATACTGGTCTTCCTTCCTGTTTGCGTATATTCCATACCCTCTAAGGCGAACGCTGAGTCATCCTCGAACGTGTCGTTGTCGCTCTCATTTTTCCCGCCGTTTTCCTTATCCTCTTTATCGCCATTTTGACTTTCATTTTCTCTAACCTCTTCATCGTTTTCGCTCTCATCTTCATTTTCCACCTTCTTCTTCTTCTTCTTCTTCTTTTCCTCTTCCTCTTCCATAAAACTGATTAATCCTCGAGTTTATGCTCGAGTTTACACGTATTCTAAACAAAAAGATATCACAAAATACGGAAATTTTTAGAAACGGATCTTACGTAATTAAATTTAAAAGGCGAGAAATTTAAAAGGGGGGAGGAAAATGACGATTTGAAAAGAAAATAATTGGAAATACGATACTAAAGAGATTAATCGAATATTTATGATATCTATAATTATTTTATATGCGAAGAAGGAACAGGAATGAAATAATAAATAGAAAGAAGATGAAATAGGATTATTATCACGATTATTTTGTGAGCTAGTCCTACCGGCAGCGAACTTTGTTGAGAACTAATCGCGTATCGGTGGCACACCTTTTAACGATTGCGGAACGACACGGTACGACACGCGTGCTCGTTCGAAAGAGAAAGGGATAGAAATACGAGTAGAGAGGAGAATTTCATTTCTTTTTTTTTCTTTCCTTTTCCCCTTCCCTCCTCCCTTTTCCCCCTATTATGTTTAACAATTTGCCTTAAAAGGACGTTAAGTAAATTTGATTAGCATTTTGGATATTTATAGCACACAGATGATTCCTCGTTAGGAAAAAATCTCTAAGATTATTGAGATGTTCTCTGTGTAATCGTTTAGGTAAATCGATACCGTACTATTCCTTGATTGTACGATTCGAGTTTTATTATGTGGTTTTTGGTTGCTATTCCCCATGGTTCGATCCCATGTGTCTAGATAAATTTGATTACGGATTTGTACATTATATATATATTTGTATAGAAAAAGATAGAAATAAAGAGAAAGAGAGAGAGTAGTGTAGTAAGAGAAATAAATGTATATTGACGATAGTAGTAAATCTTATGGTTTACAAATTACCTTCTTTTGATTTGTCGAATCCATTAGGGAGTAATAGAGAGAGAGAGAGAGAGAAAATAATATATGTACATCTGTCTTCTTTTCTCTTGAAAATGTCTCGTGGTCATGGCCAATTAATTGGCATATCGTCGTTCTAATATTAAAAAGCTTCGTACCAATCTAATCTCATCAACGATACTACTTGTTGTTATATTAGTTTTTATTAACAAATCGAATTTCATTAACAATGTCGAAGAAAAATATGAAAGACAGTTTAAAAATTATCTGACTTTTTGGATTTTATTCGAAAAATCAGAAACAATCCCGTTTGAATAAACTTGGAGTTATTGTCCACGAAATAAATTACAATAAGATGTAACCGGACGTTTAAACTAATTTGCATCAGGTTTCTAGGACCAAAAATAGGTCACAGGTCATGGTCTCTTTAGTCGTGAAGTCCATTAATCGTTCGGAAAAAAAAAACTTATTCGTGATGATTTTTTAAAGTCGACACTAAGAGACTCCTAGTGATATTGGATACAAGTTAGTTGTTCATTTTTTCTTCCTCTTTTAGATTTTACATACAATTATATAGAAGACTGTAATCGAGTTATCAACTAACGTTAGTAAAGGAAATATTTTGACGAAATTAACGTAACTCGGTTTAGTCGCATATAAGTATACATTGCTTCGCTTATTTTTCATTCGTCTAATTGTAAGAATAAAAGTGTTAACAAATATGACCGTGTTATTCGTTTAAGAATATAATTCTAACTTGACTACGATTTTTTACGATGATCGATACAAACTCTGATGAATACCATAGGCGTTCATATAATTTATATTCAATGTATTAGATTTACACATTTCGTATTATAATTTAATCGCAAACGCGATGTGAAATTAACAATGTAGTGCTTGATTAAAAGAAATTTAATTTGTAAATGCTAGCAATCTCACATTTTGTTTTTACGAAAATTTGCGTTATACAAAAACAATAGCAGTCGCAATATCTTTACCGCATAGTCATTCACGTTGTGGGAATTTTCGTTATACGGGAGCCTATTGTATTCAAATTCAAAATTAATTATTAGCACTATAGATTGATAGAAACTAATGTTATATCAAATTTAATTACACACGTTGGTTGGTTGAAAAGTTTTGAGCCTAACGTAAAAATTACAAAAAGATAAGAAACTAGTTATCGGCAATGATTTGATCGATCTAAAGATTAAAATATAATTACAAAAAGAATATTGTACAAATATAAAAGTGTTGAAGATAAAAAAAAAAGGAAAAAACTTTTGCAAAAGATAGTCAACGTCACTTCCACAGTTTGGTACCCTTGATTCGGTTGAATTTTAAAGAATGAGACAACCAAGACAAATCAAGGGACGGGAGGATGGTGCTAACGAAATTTCATGTATCCACGAGAAAGGGTATACACACCAAGGAAAGTTCCTGTGACCAATAAATTCGGCCAATGAGAAAGAAATTTAAGTTACGTACGCATAAGAGGATGATTCAATTCCTCTGATGCGACATGCACCAAGGTACTGGGAAGCATCAGACTACCTGATGAAAGTTATACCTTTTCCTTGTTATATACTAATCCAAACAATTTCGAACATTTGCGAGAAAGATTGAACAACAGGATCTTCATTCTATGAATTATAACTGAAATAAATACGATTTTTACCAAGCCCGTACGATTCCTATACATTAGAAGTATATTAACAATAATTTTCAACGATTTAAAATCATTTGTAATGATTATTTTGTTAAGAAAAAGTGTTAATCGAATGTTAACGAGTAAAGGTAAGTAGCCATCTAGCGAAGAAATGGAGAAACAAACGCGCGCTTGAACCGACCACGTGATTCATCGAACTGTAGCGCGCAGATTCAAAGCGTAGCCAGGTATTACGATCGATTGTAATGCAGCTTTCGACGAACTAACGTTCAATTTATAGATTATATTATTTTCCTAAGCTTTCGACTTTTTCTTTTGAAGATAATTAAAGTATTTTTAATATAGAATGTTCCAGGTTTTAACCTTACAACTGGATGGCTGTCTGGCATATTACGGAATACATTTTTATCAGTGATTAAATTATTTACTGAAATAAAACAATATAGAAACGAACTTCGGAAAGTAACAAATTCAATTGCTATTAATATTGTATCGTCAGGGGGGTGAACATTTTGAGATAAACTATTATTTTTGTTATTTTTGTTATTTTTGTCCAATATTACTATACTATTTCCTGCAAAATTCTTATTTTGGTCATCATTTATTAATAAAGCTTTAAATGACCAATGTTTATATAACATTATTTGTTTCTTATATAGGCCCACAGAATATACTAACAAAGTTTGGCCGTTAAAACCTGGAACCCCCTGTATATAAAAAGGATTAAATAAAATATATTATAAATTTATTCTGAATTATATATGAGCGTTATTGATAAATATAAAAATAGAATTCTATGTGCATATCTCTCTGAAAATAATTATAAAAATAATTGACTGTAAGGGTTTTAAAGTCTATAATTAAATTTTGTAGACATATAAATAATGAATAGCTATGTCAGACCTACATGTATCGATTGAGTAATTGAAGTATGAATGATTAAAAACAATATGGATTGGAGTACCGTAGATTTTGATATATCATTCTTCACTTATCTTAACGCACTATCTGTATAAATAAAAGTGATTTTTATAAAAGAATAAAACACGCTCGAACATCGAGATATAATCAATTATAAATACTCAGGCAAGTTAATCTAACGATATTGATAGAAACAAAGTTAGTTATTTATCTTTGATAATACTCGTATTAAAAGATGAAAATATCTATATAGAGAAAAGAAAAATTAAATTTAAAACGGTATGCGAGAACTTCGCGCCATTTATCGAAACTTAAACGCATGACTCGTTTAAACGTACAATATCAATTAGATGATAATTTAAATATGATATTTTCTCCACGAATTTTGTAGTTAAATTAAAAAAATAAATTTTGTAATACAGTGTGCAGATACTACGGAATTCTGGGATGGTTATGTCATACCGGGTGCAAAACGTGTGAAGAGTTAAACGACGATATTAAAGTAAAAAAAAACGCATCGATCGATCATTCGGTATAAAAAAACTAGACGATTGTATTCGAATGAGTTTCACTTAAGTCAATGAATATGTTAATAAAAAATAAAAGAAAAGGAAAATAAATTAATAATATTTGTATGGATACTCACATTAAACAAATGTGTGCGAGAGACTAACGCCCGTCTCAGCGTGGTCGAAGAAACTACGATCGATATCCGAATAAGGTAATAAATCGGTTATAATTCGACTTTAACCCGACACACGTGCACAAACAATTCTTTTGTAATATACATCGAGATCAAAGATTACGATTGTACGATTCGGCGCCAAGTGCTACGAATGTAATACTCCTCGTGTGTAGAGACATCTTCATCACGCCATGATTCGCTGCTGTCTGCTAGCGAACTAACATTCTGGGAGGTGACCATGTGCAAAGACGATCCCTCATTGGTTACTTTCAATTTGACACCAAAATGTCCGCCTTTCGAGAATACTTCAATACAACCTTCATTAATCCCTACTTATTTTAATTGACATATTTTTCTTCAATTTAAATTTTTTATTTTTTTATCAATTCTTTAATTTTTATTAATAAATTGACGAAAAATTATTCAATAGAAAATCATTAAAATGTGCAAAGTGTGAAATTGACTTTGTAATATAATCGATTATTCGACTTTACGATATTACGATATATCGATGTATTTTATCGAATCCATCTATCGAATCTTTGTAATTATCCCAAATGCCGGGAAGTTTAGCTAAACTTCGATCACATGGAGGGAAAAAGAAACCGGGGGTTAATTCCAACGACAAATATGTTTTATAATGTATTATTCTGCTATATTTTTTTACTGTACGGAACGAAAAATGTTACGACACATAGGTTGAATGTGCCGAGAGTTTTGTTACCTGTATTTAATGATTTTGCGGTTAATTTTACCCTCGAAGTAACCGATGGCGGCTGTTATCAATGGTGATTAAAATAATTTCGATTGACAGATGATCTATCATTTCTAACACATTATTGAATGATTTATATTTTTTAAATATATAAATAGTCTTTTACTCTAACTTAATACAATAATTCTTTTTTTTTTAAATTATCTATTATATAACCTAAAATTTATTACAAATTACAGGGTGAAATATTAATGATATATTTTTTACAATTATTGAACGTATGTTGATATAAATATTGAATATTTTTAGGTCAACTTCTCGTTTGGATATTATTCAACTAATTCCGATAAACGAAAACTTTGACAAAAGTTGTTCATCAAGTATTATGATCCAAACTATAACCAGAGAATCGACAAGGAATACAGCTATTGTTTTGGCAGAAGATGTTAACACGGGACAATTGTTACGCTGTGATGTTATAATAGATGCAATATTTTCTTTAAATCTTGTTACTACAACACGAGAGTTATACATCGAAGAAGCACCAGAAGCTTTTGAAGTACGAGCCTATGACGAGCAAGGTATTATTTCACAGCATTTTAAAAACAATGTATAATTTTTAATCAATCGATTAGTAACAAATAATATAAATATTCTTTGTAGGAAATGAATTTACAACTTTGGCCGGAATAGAATTTTTATGGAGCATTGGTCATCTCGATAAACGCACTCAATCTGATAACAAAATTCTTGGTGATGTTCTACGTTTCTTAACATATCAAGAATCGCAATACGAAACACCTTCAACAGTGGCAGAATTAGATGCAGCTGGTAAACAGGGACACATTGTACTTTTAGAAGGAATTCGTACCGGTACAGCTAAGGTAATTAATATTTAACCCCTTTCCTTGTAACGTATGAGACTCATAATGTATTTACAACCCAAACATGAGAAATGTGGGTCCTACTCATGACAAATTTTATGGATCAAATGTAAGAAGCATAAAACATAGCACTGGATATGGCACACAGCTCATCATGTCAAATCATAGCACAAAGGGTTATAAAATGCATAGTATTAAATTATAAATTAATATTTTTTAACTTGTAACTTTTTTTCTTAGGTTTCTGTAAAATTACCTTATCTAGAATACAGACATGTCCTGCCAATAGAAGTCGAATTAATTGTTATAGCTAATCTAATTATTATACCTTCCGAAGTGACTATGATGCAATTTGATAATTTCAAATATAAAATAATGCAGGTATTTATGTACAATAAATTCAAATTCAAAATTGACTGCTTATCCTATCGATTAATATAGTAATTAGTATATATTTTAATAAATTTTATTATATTTTTTAGATTCATCAAGGTCGTTTAGAAACAATCAATCTTCCTTCTAGTCAATATTACTTAGAAGCTGAAAATCCAGATATGTTAGATATTGATAATGACATAAGTAATGCATATGCACTTTCTATGGGCAGAACTAAAGTATTTTTACATGATAAAAATGTTAGAGATGAATATCCAGTTATTTTACCATCGGCTGTGGTCAATGTAAATAGCGTAGCGTATATTTCTCTGGCAGTTTTACCTAACAGAAATTGGGGTTTGATCTTAGGACAAACGCATGAGATCGTTGTTGAATTATATGACAAGTATGTTAAATCTACATATTAAATGAATATATTACACAAAATTCAATTATATAATAAATTATTTTAAATTTTAGTAAAGATCACAAGTTTCATATCGGCGAGGGTGTAAAAGTATCTATTAAAGTGGATAACAATTATTTTGATACCAAATTTGTATCACAAAATGGAACTTATCTTGTTGGTGTTCCTATCACTTGTGGAACTATGTTAGTAAAAGCTACTTTATATGGAATAATGGATAAAAATGGAAAAGAAATTCTTTTAACTTCGCCACTTTCTGCAGAAGTCGAACTTGTGATACACACGCTTGTAACCGTTCGTCCTCGTGTATTAGCCGTTCTGTGGGATTCTAGAAGTAAATCACGGTATGTTAAATTATATTAAATATTCAGATATTTATTATAAAAACAATATATTTATGTAATGAATTCAAATGTTATTTTAGATATGACATAGTTTTAAAAGCAAGTGGTGGTGATGGTTCATATGCATGGACAAGTAGAAATTCATCCGTAGTAACAGTTTCTCAAAACGGAGGCATAAGAATTTTGGCTCCAGGTTCTTCAGAAATAATAGTTGCAATGTCAAGAAATCAGTATAATAAAGATACAGCAAAGATACATGTATTATTACCGTCAAAATTGAAAATTATAGAATACAGTATCGAAGCAGCTGTTGGTGAGCCTATACACTTGCATATTGCATTATATGGAAAATTAACCAATGGATCGGATAGCAAAGAAATTCCATTTAATGATTGTAAAGATATCAATTTTGAAATGATTATTCCCGATGGTAATTTTGTACAGAATTCTAGCAAAGATGTACAACCTATTGGAGTATCGTGCACTGTAATTACAATAATAAGTTCAAGTATTGGTATATCTCAAGTTACAATAGCATACAATGCTAGTGGAAAATACTTAATGGACAACATAACTGTATCGGCGTATGAGCCATTAACAGTTGTACATCCTAAAAATAAAGAAACGTTACTTGCGGTTGGGTCTTCCAGAAAAATAGTGTTCAAGGGTGGTCCTCATCCGTGGTCTGGTAAATCGCAAAGTTATTCGCGCAGAATGATAAGTTCTAATGAAAATATTGCTGAAGTAACAGAACATATGCATTCGTTAAGTATATCCTACGATATATCTGTGTTTGAAGTACTTTGCAAAGCATTGGGAGAAGTAACATTAACATATACTGTGTCAAACGTTCCTCTCTTACCAAATTGTAAGACTACTTATGCGAAGCAAACGACACAAGTTACTTGTGGAAAACCAAGATACATTTATCTTCAACCGGAAGTGAAAGACAGTAATAGTTGTCCGCTTAAAAAAAATCCTGACAAAATATTAGCTCACAGCGATAAGAGTCAAAAATTTACTATAATAGTTAAAGACGAGGATGGCAGGCAATTTGATAACATTACTAGTTTAAACATCGAATGGAATATAAAACCTCCCGCAGCTGGTCATATGGAAATTTCAACCGCTTCCATAGAAGAAACTTTTACGGATATGCAAGTAGTTCTGCCAAAGAGACATTATCAAAATGTTGTATTTACTAAACGTTTTGGAAAGTTTACCATATGTGCTATAATAATTGGATATCAAAAGCATATACTTGGAAAATTACGAATAACGCCTGAATGGCCTGCGTTTCCTGTGCAAAATGATAAAGGCAATATCGAAACGCCTATAATAGAGAATTGCATAGAAATAACTTTAGTAAACGATACCATTCTTAATCCAAACAGATTGATCATTTTAAATGATCCTAATGGAAAATATTACTTGGAAGTTACTCAGGGTTCTGGATATTACGAATTTATTTTAAGTTCCAATGATGTGGCTGATGTTCGTTACATGGAACCAACAAAAGTAATTAGCGTTAAGCCAAAAAAAGCAGGAATAGTTCATATATCATTAAGAGATCTTTGTTTACCTTCAAAAGAAGCAGAAGCTATTATCGAAGTACAACAATTAGCTATAATAGAGACAGACGTTATCAATAAAATTGAGAAAGGAAAATGCGTAATAGCTGCACTTAAATTATTGGATACTAATGGAAATATAATTAAATTGCCATCCTTGGACATATTGAATTTTAAACCTAAATTTGAAAACAAATATATCGAGATCAAACAACTATCTCTAAACGAACATGGTAATCCACCATATGATCAAGTGCTATATAAGGTTTATGGTGTCGACGAAGGTGAAACGCAATTAATTTTTATCAGTGAAGCAAATGAACTAGTAATTCAAAGTGAACCAGTCTCCATTCAAGTTTTTCTTCCTTTAAAAATACATCCAAAAAATCTAACAATATTAATTGGAACAATCTATCAAATTCAAGCAATTGGTGGTCCAACCAACGCTGAAATCGAATTTTCAACAAAGAATAACGAAATTTTAAGTATTGATCATAACGGAGTTTTTGAAGGTAAATCAAATGGACAAACTAAAATTATAGCAAGAGCGATTGGTCTTAATGCTAAAGGAAATAAAATAGTTTATTCCGAAGACTATACTACCATTCATGTATTGTACCTTGAAGGAGTTAAAATTGTAACACCTATAACTCGCGTGAAAATAGGAGGTACTTTTCCGCTTTGGGCATTTGGTATCCCAGAATATTTAACACCACTTATAATAGGATCTATGCAGTTGCCATTATCTTTTTCGTGGTCTTCTAGTGATTCTAACTTTTTGAGTTTACATAATATGTACGAAGGTACAGGAATAAATATTCGCTATCAAAATGAAGTATCAATAAGAGCAAGAGCTCTGGAAGCTGGTTCAGTAACTGTTTATTTAAATGTCACGGTACCATCTAGCAAATTAAGTGGTCTTAGAAACGAAGTGACGTATACTACATCTGTGAAAATCGAAATTTTTGAAGAATTACGTTTAATTTATCCTCCTTTACCAAGTGGTTCATCAGTAATATTAATGGCTCCAAATTCTATGTTAAAACTACAAACTAATTGGGATAAGCATGGATCTATTACATACCAAATTATATCAAGTACACAGCAAAATAATTCTAAGGATCCTAACGCTTTAAATTTACTATCCAAAAGTGTAACTATTCATAATGGAGTTATCAAGTCAGGTGATCAATTTGGAAGAACTATTATTTCTATCACAAATGTAGAAATGTATAATGTCAAACAAGTATTAACCATTGTCGTTGATGTAAGTTAATGTAATATTTTATGTTATAGCGCGTATGTGATACAATATGATTCTAATATATAATACGTGATAAATTTTGACTATAGGTTAAACCAATTCATTACATGATGCTTTCTCTGCATTCAAAATTACGTATAAGAAGTGGAGAAGAATTAAATATGTTACCTAAAGGAATGGAATTGGATTATATTGTGGAATATTACGATAATGTTGGTATAAAATTTCATGCTGCTGAAACAAATATAAAGACAACTTTAAATCGCGTTGATTTAGCAACATTTATAATTAATCCTGGAAATTTGATAACTACTAAATTTATTGAAAATGGAGAATTAGTTGTTAAAGTTTTTAATGATAAATATCATCAAGGAATGTTTGACTATGTATACATGAGACTCGGTGATATAGTTTTTCCAACAAAGGTACTACTTATAACATTTCTATTTTATCATATAAATTATTCATTATTTTAATCAATTATTATATTATTTTATAGGCTACTTTGACTATAGGCGATATCGTTTGTTTCTCTATGCCACTTCTTTCATCTGACGGTGATCCAGGTTACTGGCAGTCCACTGCACCTGAAATATTGCTTATTGATCCGATAACTGGAATAGCTAGAGCACGAAACGTAGGACATGCTGTTATAAAGCATAGTCTTGCCACTCATATGCAGGGCGAGATAGAAGTAACTGTTCAAGCGATATCTAAGGTATTATGAATTCATATTTTTAATAATATATAGTGTTTAAAAAAATATATTTCATATATTTATATTTCCTATAGGTATCTATAGTACCGATACGAGGTAGAAATATAACTGGCTTTGAAACGTTTAGCGTACCACTTGTACTTAAAAGTAAAGATGAACAGATTAAAGAAAATAACGTGTTGTCAAGAGGTTTAGGAGGATGTAGAACTTCTCCTTCGTTCACACTTACTACTTTTCCATACACATGCAATATACAACTCATACCTAGTAGCTCGATAGGTGTAAAAGATATGTTCCTCGTGAAACCTCGATTTAGCATTGCGACTGGTTAGTATAAAATATGTATTAATATTGTGCAAGATAGTACACGAAATATTTAAAGAAAATATTTTTTATACTTGTAGGTTTCTATTACTGTGATATAATACCAATGGATTCACCAAGTGTACCTCTCAGTACATTAGAAACTCGTATCCAAATTAGTGCACGATGTCGTGATTTCGAAGCTACTCCTTTAGAACTTGCATATCTTCCACCTATATACATTAGTACAAAAGAAATATTATTTGTCAATCCACAATCTCAAACAGTACCCTTTGCCACGGTAGAAATCTTTGGATTGCAATCAGTATTGGAACACGTTACTGTAAGTTATACTATTTTTTTTAAATATTCAGATTATATTAAATGTAAAAATATTTGTAATTATTTTTAAGATCGAAGTACCCGATGGAATAACCATAAGCGGTCGATCGGTATTCAAATCTTGGACTCAAATTCGTCTTCGTTTGATGAATAATCAAGATGATATTCAAGGACAAAAAGTAATAGTATCGAATGAACTCACGAAACAAAATATTTCTGTAAGTAATAGAAGAAATATTGATTAATTTAATGATACTTGTATTTTACTTAATATTTCTATTTATTTTTTAGCTTTTCATTCGCATTTCGAAGTACGATCATTTCATGCCCTTCTCTGGTATTCAATGGGTTGATTATATATATTTTCATCGATACACATTTGGAACATTCGCTGTCATAGTGATAACTTGTTTCTACAGTAAGATTAATTCTTATCATTTTTATGAGTTTATATAATATATGAGAAATTAATGTACTTTCTTCTTATTTTCAGTATGGAAAAATAGAGTGACAAATGTTGACTTAACGATCAAGAATAGATCTGTATTTGGTATGTATTCCTTTTAAAAAATCTAACTAGTAATAAATAATAGATTGAAAAGAAAATGAAAATAATTTTCACTTACAGTCGATAAATGCCCACCGACAGTTAGAAAAACCAGCACGCCATATTCTCCTACTATGAACACATCAAACATGTCTAGTCCTCATAGTCCAACTTCACCATTAAGACCATTTTCAGCATTTGAACCGGTATATGGCGATCCTCGTGGTCTATTCACGCCATTGGCTAGACGAAACAGAACTTTAAATTGAATTGTTAATAAAAGGTATATAGTGGGTTAGTCAATAAACGAACATAATCTGTTCAGAGACGATGTTCATTACCCACATTGTTCATTAACTGATTATCAGAAGAAAAAAAATTAAATAAGTCTACAAATGTTAGAAACAGCATCGCTTCTTGTGTTTGTTCTGTAAGGTGGGGGTGTTATCTGAACGTAAAAATCTTTTGTGAAAGTGTTCATAGTCTGCATTGTTCATTAATCGATCTTTCACTGTATGTGTTAAAACCTACTATTACTGCTGCTATTATTATTATTATTATTATTATTATTATTATTATTATTATTATTATTATTATTATTATTATTATTATTATTATTATTATTATTATTATTATTAT